ACTCCGATGGCAATTATTAAAAATGATCGCAAAATTGTTAAAAAAAATTAAATTATTTTATTTAATTTTTAATACCGTTTTCTTTTTGTGTCTTGCTTATCTTAATTAATTACGCTTAATGAGATTTTTATGTAAATAGGATCTAATATAGTAGCGGCATCGTTTGAATTATCCCTCACCACTAAATTCATAATTGGCAATTCGCACTACCACTCGTATATATTTTGCGGTGTAGTGATAAGAGAACTTTATTTTTGTATTTTAAAAGAACTGATTCGCTTCAAGCAAATTGTTAGTGCGTGTGTAACTGCAAACAAAAAAAAAAAAAAAAACGAAAACATTAATTACGTACATCAATAAACGCACTCGTTAAACTAGAAATAATATATATTTTTAGTGTGATAATTATTTGAGCTTAAAAACTGAATGGAAATTTGCATTGCTTGTTACTCAATCGAGAATATTTTTCTGTAATGAAAAGGCAAAAAAGCAATTATTTCAATTTGCAAATAAATATCTTCAATAACATCGGGGAAGGCTAATTAATTATGGAAATAATGAAGTGTTTCTGCGAAGGAATATTTGTGATTTAAAAATTTTATTTAAAGGTAACTAATTATAACTTAAGCTTAACATTATTTCAAAAATGGTCAGTTGTTGATATCATAAAGAATTGGAAAAGTTAATAGATGCTTTTCATTCCTTGACTGGGTTTCCCAGCAGAGCTTTTTTTTTTTTTTTTCTTTTTTTGACTATCATTTGTATTTTTCTACAGCTTCAAAATGATTTAAGGATTGCTTTGTGGAGCTATGTTCGTGGCCATCCGTTCGTCTGATAGCGACATTTCCCATTACCAGAATGTCTGGACTGCGATGAATTTTTCTTCGAAACACGAGCAGTGTACTTAACATATTCTCCCTGATGAGACATCAGACTTCATTATGGATATGGAGTTGAAGTCAAAGGTATTCTTATTCGCCGTCGATTTTAAGTGGTTGGCCAAGTCGCGTTCATGATGTTTTTTTTTTAATTTATTCAACACTTACAAGAAACTATCCTGTTTACATTTTGGCGCATTATCCCAAAGCTTAAAGTAGTGTAGCTTAAAATAGAGAAGTCGCCCATTTATTCACATCACATGATGCTATTCTGGATCAGTAAAATGGTACAACATCACATTCACGAAGTAGTTCGTAATGATTACGTCCACCAGCGACTGGTTGAAGATATCGTCGACTTGTCAAAATGTTTCCAATTTTCAAGAGGAAATTTCAAAAATCCCACGCGTTCTATCAATATCAATTATAGTCAGCATCGATCTAGGCATATCCGTCTGTGTGTTGGTCCCTAATCGCACTAGCTGCGCTATCAGTTACAAATTGCCAAATTTCTTGCTCGTAGGTAGGAATTCAAAATGGGCTGAATCGGTAGAAGGACACATTTAGGACACAGCTAGAGAGTATGAACCCCTTCATTTTCTTTCAAAACCAAGAATTTATTTCAAATTTTTAACCCATGTGCAATGCGAAGCACTTTTTTTATTGCTCGCTGTGTTTGCGAGCGTTCGAATTTTTAGTCTATCGTAATTCAAAATCGTTTCGGTGGCAAAGAGACTTTTTAAATGAGAGGTCTATTCAAATAACTATAACATACCTTAGGCAGTGGTACTATCTTTAACTTGGGGCGGCGGATTTGCAATGTAGTTCCATTGTACATTACTTTTATTTTTACTATTATTATTATTATTAATTTAGCCGGAGAAGTAAGTTCTAAGACTGAAGTCTTAAAGCACTAGTATTAAGGCTTGAAAACTCTACCGCACTTGAGATTTGAACCTAAGACCACTGCGTTGTTAATCGATATTCTTCACATGCTTGGCCACTACTTTCGCATATCATGGTATAACTTGAGATAGGAATCAATGAAAAACAAAGTAAAAACACGAATTGATACAACGCAGGTCTATTTTTTGAACTCCAACGTGCATAAGGGTTTTAATCAAAAAGAGGAAGAGATCCTATATTTTATGATGAAAATTGTTTGTCACTACATTAACTGTAGGGTATTGGGACTATGTAGGTATGTTTTTTAGGCCGCACCATATATAGGCGGTCTCATAAAAGCAAGTCCTTTTTCGACGTCGAAGTTCAATCTGTGGTTTGTTATCACGAAAAAGTAAAATTTTTGGCATGGGTTGCTGCACTGAATTTGAAACCACGTTAGTTGACGTTCTGAGTATCCTTTGATATAATAATGTATAATTCTTGGTGTATTATTTAGAACGTAAGTGAATGACAGGATTAGGTGAGGCTATAGCATGCTTATATGTCTTATATATATAAACTTGTAAAACTTGGAAAGAATATCGAATATTGTAGCAGGCGCAGCTAGTGGCCGGCGTGTCCAGCTACTAGCTCTGCTAAATTATGATTTTTTTCAATTTTCTCCGTCCATCATTCACTAGTGATCGTTGTTCATTAACGATCGAGTTTCAGCCCTTTTCTATATAATCTTTCTTACCCAAAATAATCCTTTATAAGGTAAAAAGTTTATAATACTTTGTGATAAAAGTTGTCCACAATAGTAATTTGCAGACCTAGTTTGTGTATCTCATGGCATCAAAGTTTAATTTTGAATATTTTCTAAGGGAAGTACGTGAAGAATAATAAGGTCTTTAAACCCTAAATCAATTTTGCTAAATTTATTCCACGCGATTTCACATTTTGGACCGATGAGAAGTAGGCATTTATATGAAGAGAAGATATAATTTTTGATATTTAACCAAAGAGAAAAATGAATAATTGTATTAAATAAAGTATAGAAGGGTATTTAATAGTTGGAATTTTTTCGCTGTGAATTTTCACTTATGTTAAGGTAAAGTGATGGATGTAAAAGTTTCGATCACATTTGAACATCATTTTCTTATTTCTTATATGTTGGCTTGTGATTCTTCCGGCGGGATGTCATCAGTGAGATATAAAAATGAAGATTTTCTACAAATAAATGTAACTTACTCGTTGAATGCTGCGAATGTGAGTGACCACAAAACATTGAAAAATAGTGTCAATCATAAAAGAAACAATATTGGCTTACATGCTTTACAATCAATTCGTAACTCATTCGCCTGTGACAGAGAAAAGAAAGATAGAGAGGGAAAAATAGGGCGAGAGAAAGAAGGATTAATTATTTATTTAAAAGTCACCGCAAAAATCTGGCGAAATGTCTGCAAAAAGTTATTTAAGATGAATGCATATTTAAGCAAACATAATTTTAAGTGATTAAACGCCTTTAATATATGAAAAAGCACCCAATTTGCTTATTTGCAATTTGAAAGAGAAGAAAAAAACCAGCTGGTGTTCTATTTATATTCCTTCCATGGCATTGAATTATATAAAGAAATGTATACCGCAAATAAACTCACTTTGTGCACATACACAAACACATTTCAAGAGGCTGCTTATGTAAACAAAAAAAAAAAACAAAAAAAACAAAAACTTTATTATTCAATTTCATCTCAATGAAATTAAATTTTGTAAGGGTTGCACAAGGATACAAATTTCTGAAAGAGTTTCCAATACAATAAAAGAACTTCAGAAAAAAAAACTAATATTAGATGTTGAGTATTATAATAAGAAGTATTTTAAATTTATAATGCTTTCTTCATTGCGAGTAAAACACATTGCACTTAGGCTGACTTGTTAGTTGTAATGAAACTAACAATCTAATCTATTTGAAGCCCTTAGATTTTGACCTACATATGACCGTTATCTGCGGTCAAGTAGATTTCATTATCACTTATACCACCATACTATTCACATTTAATTGTGTTTGTTGACTTTTAACAAAATCCTCTTCTATTGCCGATGAACATACCGTAACTTAATTTATTATTATTATTATTATTATTATTATAAATTTAGCCAGGGAATAAATTCTAAGACTAAAGTCTTAAAAGCACTAGCATCCAAGGCTTTCGGCTTTTATTAAAAACTTTACCGCACTTGAGGTTTGAACCCACGACTATTGAGTTGCTAATCGAGACTCTTGCCTACTCGGCCACTCAGGCGGATAAAAATTTAATTTAAAAACTACAATGCAGAACATGTAAGAAAATATAATCGAAAAGTAAAAAGCCCAGCTGGACACTCTTCAATAGCAATCGAATCGACGACGAAAGACAACGTCTGTAGATAGCATTTTCGCCCAATTCCAGCAATTGGCTTTCATCGCTTCTTCTGCACTCGACTCTATCGCAACTATGGGCAGCATCACACAATAAGCTTAAATTTATGGCGATATTGTAGAAAATATTTATTGACATTTGCATATTCTACGTGGAGTTTAAAGAAAATTTTGAGTAAAGTCAAAAAGAATTGTGTGAATAAGCTGTGGGGTTTATCCCTATACTCAGTCACTGCTAAAGATGAGCTTTTACGTGATTTCAAATGGCGTTTGCCGATTACAGAGAAATCATCAATAATTTCAGCATTGACTATCAAGTACTTCAAGATGTTTGCTTGCTAAATAGTATGTAAAAGTAAACCATCATATTCCACGTATGCAAATTCGAATTCCGAATTTGCCCATAGAACGCTCTCGTTGTAAATGTACTTACCGTCAAACCACGCCATTGGCGTCATTCTTTCTTGTTGACATCTGGCAAACATTTTCATCGCATAACGCTACAAATTTCATAAAGCAGCGTAGTTTGTTATAGCGTTCAACATGTCGATCTTTGCGGCAAAACAAAAAAAAAAATTCTTTATAGCACTAGATTTCCCGCGAAAGATGTAAAACTTTCGTTACTCGGGATGAAAAGTGTATTTATTTGTGGCAAGAAGACGATAGCTTGTGTTTGGTGGGATTGGAAAGACGTAGTTTATTAAACAGTTAACACCAAAGGCTAGTAACAATAATTAATCGATTCGAACAGTTTGTTGTTAAAAAAAGACATTTGTATTCAGCATTGGAATCTATATCAATCCGCAATCATTTGACTTTTCGATTATCTGCATCAAGTCTTCGATTATGGAAAATACCGACTAGCACGTACTATCGATGTTTCTACACGGATCATAGATCGCTCATATATTAACTCGAAAATATATTTATCTCTGACGGCGACTTATGAAGATTCTGCCCAGCGACCATTGAAGTTTCCCAACACATTCTATATAATTGCATGACTATATGCGAAATCGGACACTAAGTGCATCATAAATGTCTTAACGCTAAAGATTAGGTCCATGAGGGTTGCAGGTCGCGACAAAGTTTGGCCGCATAAAAGATGTATAATCGATGAGCGAACGAAAATTAACGAAAAACCTTATGATATTGGAAGATTTACGGCTGGATGGTGAGAAAGGATTTCTTATAAGAATTTGTAACAAGAAAGTTTTTATTTGCATTAGGCAAAATCTTTGACAGTCAATAACTTAAATGAACATGCAAACAACTTAACATGCTGCATTCAGAGAAGATTGCTCTTTCAATACCCTTTGCCTATTATTATGTAAAAGTATTATTGAAAGTGTGTAAAAATGACTTTTGGAAAAACTCATAACCCGTAGAAAAGACCGAACTAATGTGAACTAATATGATTCAAATTTACAATAATCATTCATTTTCTGCAAGGCGCGCATTAACTTCAAGTCTTATTTTTTACATAAATACTTACTTTTTAAGAGAAGGGAGCAGGCCTGAGAAACGCCCGAATACATCAAGCAAAGTTCATTGATGTCATATGTAATAACAATTTGGACTAGTTTCCGTCTCAAAATATACAAAGTTAAATGTTGTTGTCAGATAAGGACTTATGCGTTGTAAGAACGTTTGTATGGAGGATGGTTTGAAAAATGACCCAACTCCAAATGTTCCATATTCAATTAGTAGATCGAAATTCGATTTTTCGTCGATTGTGGTCGAGAAAAATATTTAATATATTGCATTTGTTTAAAAACAAATTTTCCAAAATAAGGAGTCATAAGGAGTACGGTCGAAAAAATGGTCTAATCGGCTTCATTATTAATGACGTTTCTCGTTGGTTGAAAAGATGTCAATGTACATTAGCTTTGATGAAAATATCTCCAAACTGCATTCTGGAGATCCAGCCGGTAGATACAAAGAACAGACGTTTGGCTGACGGACGGACAAACTTAAAATGAATCGGATGTAATGAAAGAATGATATGCCTCAAGTTAGCCTGTCTATTGCAGGCAACGCTTATACGCATACTTAATGCATTTTTATCGCAAGTAGTGCAGGGCATAAAGAGAGAAAGGAAACAAAGCGAAATTGGGATCCCCTATAAATAAATATGTGTAACACTTTTAGTTATTAAGTCATTTCAATTAAAAGTGAATCTAAAATAATATAATATTCCCCCTAGTAGTGGGCGTTCTTCGTTCGATTGTATTCAAATTCAATCGTTGGTTAAGCGTTTTACTTATTATTATTCTCCATTCCTTTGATATGCAGTTGTGTGCAAATAAATGTCCGTTATTATGGCCATTTCTGAATGATTTGTGTTAGGGCAGTTTTGGCTTAAAGCCAAAAGCCAACATAAGCGAGAATAGAGAACGAGAAGATGTAAAACCAAAAGAAAATTTAATAAATTATTTTCACATCATGAACATTTTAATTAAAAGAATTTACAAACCAATAAAATTTGTTTCTCTTTTCTGCTTTTTTTTCTTGTTTCTTTTCACGATTACACACAGCAAGCCCATCGGGGCCTACCAAACTGGCACATCAATTTTGGTTTTCTTATCCGCCACCGGGCGCTGGCGGAGGCTCTTCTAGTAAGTGTTCATATATAAATGAATTTTTTTTGTTTTTTTGTTTTTTTTTTTTTTTTTTTTTCTGAAAAACTTTAACATCAACAGTTTTATTTAAGTGTTGTGTTGTGTGTGCCTAAATATGCAACAATAAATTGATATTAAATTATGTGTGCGGCTCTGTGTTTGGTGTTTATTGCGTCTGTATTATGTGCGTGTGCCTTTTAGCATATTTGTACCTAACTTTAATATCCATCTATGACGTAACTACCTTCCCTACCCTCCCTATCTACGTACCTTACTCTCCTACAACACAACAAGATATTTTCACTTCAATGAGAAAACAAAAGAAAAGAAAAAAAAAAGAAAAGAAAGAAAAGAAAGCAAAAGAAATAAAATACCTATTTAAGAAGACATAATAATTCATTATTATATATAATTTTATTTACATTGAATTGTTTTCACTCACACTTTCAACTCTTTTTCTTATTAAAATACCTTTTTATTATTATTATTATTATTATTATTATTATCATGAATTCTTGCAATTTACTAATGAAACCTCAAGTAGTTTAATTTATATTATTCTTATATATATTTCACTTTAATAACAACAGTAAAAAATTTCAATCCTTACCCAAAAATTTTAGAAAATTCTGTTTTACAAAAAAAAAAAAAGAAAAAACAAAAAATAAAAGAAAAAAAGAAAAGTAACTCACAAAGATAAAATGTTTTAGTTTTTAATGACAAATTTAGAGTTTTAATAATTATAATGAATGTTAATTAATGTTAATTAAATGATTACATTTTATCTATTATTTCTATTTTTTATACTCACCGCCTAAAGTTACATTGAATTTGACAATTTTTGGGTTGTTCTTAAAAGTAGACTTTGAAAAAGTTGAATATGCGTAAACTTTAAAAAATCAAATAGTTCTTCTATTCAAATTATAACATTTTCAAAATAGTTTTGTTTAGCGTAGCGATCAGAATTAAGCTGGCTAGCGATCTCTACATGCCTGCCAAACGTTTACAGTTCTCATTGTAATATTCAGGAAGCTTTCTTTAGATAAATAAAATTACTATAAAGTTACAATAAATACATTTAGACTGGCTAATATAATAAAGAAATAGGATACAATATGCTTGTACAAAAAGAAAAATAAGAGCAATTACTTAACTTAAATATTAACTAGCAGTTAAACTAACCATTATTTACACTGGAACTCAGTAATAATTTGAAATACGTTTTCCTGGAAAGTTTTCAAGTTAAGCCAACGCCGAGCTTGGATGAACTTTTTTTTCCGCTTGTAAAAAAGCAGACAAAACGCGTCCTATCCTATTCAAAGGATAAGATAATAATAAGTACAGGATGATAGGTCTTCAAGTTAAAAACGGAAATTCATAGATTTATTAAGGAATACATTGAAGTCGTTGAAGTGATTTTTTTCCTCAAGTGACAGACCACCTTCTCGCCAATTCCTCTTACATTTTCTAGGCAAAACACATTAGGTCCGTCGTTAACCTAAATGAGGGCGGGCTGTTATTTTAAGTCAGGTTAACCTAAGTCTGTTAATGTTATATGTAAACGTAAATGTAAAAAGATATCATTTGGTGTGTTGAGAAAATCATTAAAGCGGGTTAAAGCCATTCTTCCCTTGATTCAATGATTTCTCACTTCAAAGATACCTTCGCAGTTTTCCTACTCATTACTTCTTCATTATTGAAATATATAAATATTTCATATATAATTTAATTTAGCCTAAAAAAAGAAAGCTCATATAACAACATAGATCTTAGGTAAAATGTTATTTCAAATGTTTTTCACGCTCAAATTCTATGAAATTTTAAAATTGATTTCACATCAAACCTATCGTTGGCCCGCGTCAGTTTCTTTGCACTGCAGTCAACCAATCGCAAACACCCTTAAAGTTAAACGTATTTAGCTCTATCGAAATTGCGTGCTTAAGTCTGACGGTTATTCAATAGGTTGCTGATGTGATTTAACGAAAAGAAGGCAAGAAATTCTGACTTAGTTGGTGAGTATTAAACGATTCGGTTCGAACCGTATATGATCTCTTACTTGAATTAATTTTTAGCGTAATAATTAAATAATTCAAATTTTCTTTCTTTCTTTCACATTTTTATTTTTATTTTTCGTAACCATTATTTTAGGGGATTTAACTTCTCCTCTATTGTTGTTGTTGTTATCTAGCGAGTACCACACATCGTTTAAATCAATAATTTGTACATAAAAGTAAAAAAGAAAATAAAACTCGTGTGTGTTCAAAAAAAAAAGAAAAAAAAAAAATTAAAAATATTAAAAATAAGAGTAAAACACAAACAATAACAAACAGTAACAAGTCGCTCGTTTATCATTGTAACTGTAAATGTTCGGTTCTATTTAAAATCGTATCAAAAACTATATATATTCATTTATATATATATATATGTAGATATATATATATATATATACATATCTTGAAACGAATAAATCTGACTTTCTAACTTTTAGAGGTAAGGCTTGAATTTGACCAAACAAACAAAAACTTTCTATTGTTTAAAAAATCTGATTGAGATTACGTTTCGATTTGCTCGTTATATTTATTTAGATAGTAATGAAAATGCTTTTATGCGAATGCTTTAATAATGGTTTTTTAATTTTTCTTTTGCTTAAGATTTTCAAAAAATATTTTCGAAAATAATTTTAACATTTCATGATTGATTGTAGTGAACTTAGAAAGGCTATGAATAGATATGGCTTGGCATAATAATAAACTCTTCTCATAGGCAAGCTTTCTTTAATATCCACTTACACCAACGATGACTGAATCAATACGTCAAACAAAATTGTTTTTACACGAAATGACGTTCGCAGCTAAGGTAAAAATTGATAGGTGACAAATTTCTCTTTATTTTAATAATTGTCGCATAACGTACTTAGACGTTAAATCGAAAGAATCTAGACTAGCAACTTAGCGGTTGTTCATTCAAATCTCAAGTGCTTAGAGACTTTACTCCTAGAATTTCTTCCTCTGGCTAAGTAAATTGGAATAATAATAATAATAAATCGATTTATTATCTCAGTCACTGCATAAAAAAATTGGTGCCTCATTTTAAGAGAATGAAAACAAGTAAAAACACTGCAGTTGTCCACGGCCCAGCATTAAATGCCCTACGTCACCTTATAGTTAATCACATATCGACTTTTCCAAAAAAGATTTTATTTTCGAATCGATTAAAAAAGCCGTCCGATGTAAACCATTTTCACCACCTCTCGTTCTTGGGCCAAAACACGTCAGTATAGCAAATTTCATCAAAATAACTCAAAAATTGCGGTCTGCAAGCTGAACACTACAAAAGAAGACGCACAGATGGATACATGGAGAGACAAGTTTAGATCGATTCATAGAGTGACTCTGAATAATAAGTGTCTCAAGTTCTTCCAAGTGCTGCATACATCCGCGCAAACTTAGTATACCCTCGTACCACAATTGGTGTAGAGTATAATGGGTATTCATTATTAAAGACGATATTATCTATAGATAGTTATTTTGAAAATAATGAACCTTTTTAGATTAACGAAAATGTCATCATAAGTGGTTGTCACGCTATTAGAAATTTAGGACAGCTATTCGGGAAGTACTCAAGTTTTTTTAAAAGTCATTACAAGAAATTCATTCATAATCAGACTTGATGTCCAAAGAGAAAAGCTAGACGTTAGTGAACGAGTGGGAGTATCAATTATAATGTTACGATTAAGAAGCATATTTTTTCATTGATCCAAGATCCCACCCCCAGCGATTATTCACGATTTCGATAATAATCAGAAGCAATGTTAATGAGGTTTGTCGAACTAAAGCAGTGCTAAAGCAGTTTCGACCACTGCGAAAGTCGATGGGGCAACTTTGACACATTTTTTAGATTAATTAAACATTGCTTTCTTCCGTTAGAGGAATTATTTATAAAGATATCATATGTCGTCTTCCAAGAAGAGGTGTCATTTAAAGCTAAACGTACAATGCAGCCATTATTTTACTAGCGGCATGACAGATAGCGTATAGTATTAATTTTGAACTAAGAAAAGTCGGCCAACATCGTTCGATAAGGCCTTCACTCACTGCAACGTTTGAACCGGCAGCGTACCATACTGTCACAGGCTCTGATTGGAGAGGTTGTTTGACTATTTCTCCTGGGCTTTCGAAACTCATGTATTTTTTGCATCCAAGCAGTGAATGTGTTTAAAATCTTCCTAACTCTCGCTTTTTGAATCTTACCGCAATGCGAGTGATACGTTGAGAGGTCACAAGCGGAGCGAAGTTGAATTTGAAATTTCTTGTTGAACGGTCGTGCATTTTCTTTTGCTCCTTTTGATGTTACATTAAAACATGTGCTCTAATTCTAGTCGAAAAGTGACAAATTCAAAAATGTTTAAACGCTGTTTAAACTTTTATAAAAAATTATTTACGGAGAGAAATATTTGCGCCTTATTTAAGAGATAACATCACTCTAGCATTCTAAAAAGAACTGTATATTTAGTGATTTCTATCGAATGAAAGCAAAGATCTTAGAATCGAAATACTCTAAGAAGTTGTTAAGCACGTGTTCCAGTATGCAAAGAAAGAAGATGTATTTTTAAAATATATTAGAACATTGCAACAACAAGTCCATTCCCGCTAGACATTTCCCTTTGCGCTTTGTCGCAAGAAATCGGTACAAATTTGAATCGAAAATAAGAAAAAAAAAAAAAAGAGAAAGACAATCGCTTAACCAATACGCTTACAGCTAACAAACTTAGATGCTTGGGCACTGTAAAAATATTGGTTTTTATGTGAACATATTCGGAAGAAAAATTTCAATTTTCGGCTAAAAAATCCTATTCTAATTAGAGAGATTGCAAAAATTTGAAGTGAGGAAAAAAAGTGAAAATGGTTGGAATTGCGCTGACGACCGTTTCGGAAAATGCTGTTTCGGAAAGCAAGGTGCTTGAAGTTTCAAGTACGTGTAAATTGCTATAAAACTAT